AAATCTTAGAGCATGACTGTAAGAGGTTTATCTTCAGCTCCCCCAGACGAGCCCTGGGCCAGCCTGTGTGACTGGAGTGCAAAGGACATGTAACTGTGTGGTGTTCAAAGACTCTCAGTTATTCTTGCCCAGCGACTATGAAGATGGGTCCCTGTCCCTGCATGAGGGAGGGAAGCAGGGCAGGGAGAGAGACCTGGCACCTGGAGCCACACCACAGACCAGGCAGAGGAAGGAGTGAGAGGAGGTAAGCAGGGAACAGCAGAGGCACTGTGGCAGTGGAGACTGTCCTCCATTCCAAGCAGCAGGCAGCTCAGAGTGCCCAGGGAACAGGGTGAGCGCAGGCACAGGAGGGGGCAGCAGGCAGCCTGCAGGGTCATGGGTCTGGTCCCACGCTGTGGGCACTAAAGGAGGAGCAGGGGAAAGACTAGAAACAAGAGACACGGGGACACAGCTGCAGGTTGGGAGGATGAGCCCGGCTGCCCCAGGGATGGGATTGGACAGGCCAAGCCAGCGGGACGACAGGAGCAGCCAGGAGAACAGCGAAGGGAAGCAAACAGGCTCCTGCCCCAGGAAGGCACCCTGGCCTGACAGTGGCTACTGGGGCATGTTGAAGATGCAGTAACTTCAGGCTGTTTAATGGCCACATATGTGGTGACTGATTAGCAACGTCTGCCAGGACAAGGCGTGGGGCATGGAGACACCTGTGCCAGGAACTCCCCACTTCTACTTACATTCTCAGTGCTTCTGGAAACCCAGTCCTTTAAAGTGTTCTGGGACAGAAAGGCCATGGCAGATTTCCAGTCTGGGCTCAGCTGCAGGGGGACCCAGCGAACAGCACGTGAAGGGTCCAAGGCCTCCAGCACACACAGTTGGCTAGTGTCATTCATCAGAGCACGGGCCACACTTATGGACTCCTTCACGGACCGCTCAGTAACTCCCGGGAAATGTAAGTCCTGAATCAGCCAAGGCTCAGCAGGGGAGGGAGGGTAATCTTCACTGGCCTCATGGAGCACACATATCTAGGGAACAACTGTTGCAGCCGGCAAAGCTCGGCTTGGCAGAGCAGCCCAGTGGGCAAGCCAGCAGCCAGAGAAGCTCAGGACAGCACTCCTGCCCAGCAGCCCCACCTGGCAGAAATAAGCTCCCAGAGGGGCCATCTGCTGGAAAGAAAAAGTGGAGAAGGAAATGCCAAAGGGCAGGGCTATGAGGAATGTGTGGGCTCACTCCCCGGGAGCCTCACCAGCCAAAAGTGGCAGCACCCCGCCCTTAAGGAGAAAACCCCCCTGCCATGACTAAGCCTGCCAGCCAGCCTTGCAGCCCAGCACTCCTCAGGATGGCTGCGCCCCCCTGCGCCCCTCACACGCGGGACAACCAGCCCCACACCGGGAAGGTTCCTCCACTGAGGACCACAGGACAGCTGGAGGCAGCTACCCCAGCAGGGGGCTGATGATGGGCTGGGGAGCTCACTCAAACAAGATCAGGGTCAGGGCCACAGCAACCAGGACAGGACTTGGTCTGGGAGGGCAGACAGCTGTCAGGGAGGAAGTGGCCATGAAGGCTGGGGTGCAGGAGGCAAGCGAGCATTACCACCCAGAAAACCCAGGAGCCAAACATGGGTTTGCCCAGTGCCTGCTGAGTGGGGTTTTAGGGGCAGCACATTCCAGGTTTCCTGATGATCACGTCAGTGTCAGGGGTTACACACACCTTTATTTTATAAAAGAGGCTAAGCTCCAACCAGACACAAAGGTGCATCATGGATGGTTCCATTTACAGGAAACATTCAGAAGAGGCAAAGCCACAGACAGAAAGCAGACTGGTGGCTGATGTGGGCTGGGGGAACAGAGAATACAGGGCCCAGGGTCACCTTGTAGGTGAGGAAATGCTCTGGCATTAGACAGTGGTGACGGCTGCACAACACTGTGAATGTATTAAAATCACCAGCTTATGCACTTTAAAAAGGGAAAAATGACTTTTGCCATGTGAATATTCTCTCAATAAAGAAATAAGAAATGAAATGAAATAATAAGGCCATGGCACGTGTCAAAGGCCCAGAGCTGTGACAGGCAGGGCCGCGCCTCTCTCAACCTCGGCCTCCCACCAATGAAGTAAGGGGCTCAATGGTTCATCTGAATCTCAAAGGGCCCCTTAGTCCTTGTCCTCAGAGATCGCAGGGCTCCAGGACCCAGCCTGCTTCCAGGCACAGCCTACAAGCTCCCAGAACGTCAAGTCCCACTGACACCACCACAGTTAGGGCACCCAGACCGCTCCTTGGCACCCAGGGGGGACACAACCAGGCAGAGAGCTGGTGTCACAGAAAGGGCCAGTCAGCCACGTGATGGCTTCGGCTTGTTTTTTAAGTTCCTTATGTAGTTTCTAGATCCTGTTTCAAAGTCAAAGACTAGGCATGGAATTAGAGAAGAGCCCCTGAGAAGGTGCCTCCAGCTCCCACCTACAGGAATGACTCTCTCCCCTCAGGCTCCCGCTCTCACACTCTCTCTCAACCTACCTCGCCACTCCCTCCCCAGCACCCTGAGCCACCCCCAGCCTTTACCCTCCAGCGCTAAGCCAGAGCATGCTCTGGGGCCCAGTCAGGACAGAGGCCAGGGAGCAGAGCCTTGGACACAAGCTGGGACAGTGAGAGGCAGAAGGGGATGGTCGAGCCACTGCTGCTGCCTCCACAGCACTTCCACCTCCTCCACGCTCGTCCAGGTCACCCCGTCAATGCACCACCCATTTGGCTACTTGTGTACCCGGCAAGCTGTGCCGAGCCCCGCTGTGGCCCAGGCCTGGTGCTAAGGACCACAGGCCAGGCCTCTACCATCACCACTTCCCAGTTCATCCCCTACTGCAAACCCTGCCCCCTACACAGCCTTCCACTCACTCCTCTTCTCCCCCGCCTCTGACAGCACCAGGAAGCCCACCCAAACCCTGCGAGGAGGGCAGGAGGGTTAGACTCAAGGAGCCACAGCCCATGACAGCAGTCCTCTGCATCACCCAGCAGCATGGGCCCACCCGCCAGCCTCTCATGATTCTGTCCGACCCCACTGGAGGGGACGGCTGAGTCACTGCAGCAGCTCCCAGAGACAGAGCACCTGTGCTCGTGCAGTGCAGAACAGAGGGGAGACCCTGAAGCTGACTCCACGCTCAGCACGAGAAGCACCTTCAGAAGCTGCCCATCCTCCTGGCAACTGCGAGAAAAAAATCCCCCCTCCCTACAGCCCCCAACTCTGCCAAGAGGGAAGGCTGTCCTGGCAGACACACTCCCAAGCTGCAACGGCCAGCTCCGAGCGATCTACAGCGAGGGCCGGTGGCTTGGTTCTGTGGCTGACACTTTGCTCCCTCCTCCTGGGCTCGAGAGGGAGCAGCACCATCCTGAGCAGATGAACCATGGAGTCTGCCGAGATCCGCTCTCTGTCCAGGCAGGGCTGTGAGCACCTGCTCAGAACCTTTTCCAGCCACCATGCGTTTTGCCATGCCCAGCAACACAGGATGTCTCAGTCTTTGCTGCACACTCGGCTTGGGCATAGGAGCAGATCAGAGCTGGCGTCTTGAGGAGAACCATGTCCAACCTGCTGTAGCCCTGTGCTCTGGGTCCAGTCCCAGTGGCATGACCTGTCTAGGCAGCTTCAATAGCAGAACAGAGACCTCACAGCCCTGCAGCTGGAACTCAGTGCAGGGACCACTGCTCTGTCCTCCTCTTCCAGCTTGCCTGCTAGTGCCACTTCCTCATGTGACAGTCCCATAGCCCTGAGTGCCCACTGACACCGTAGCACATCATCCCTAACCCCAGCCCCTCTCTGGGCCCCAGTGTGCTTGGAGCTCCCAACCCCGGATATGAAGCCTGCACCGACCTCTGTCAACACCGGACCCATCAGATGATGACAGAGTTCTCTCCTGGGGGGGAAAGGACTCCACCTGAGCCTCAGGTAGCTCCACAGAAGGCCCAACACAGCCCTGGGCAAACCCTCCCACCCAGGTTGCAACCTGCCCATCTTGACACTACAGGGCTGGACCAGCCACTACTGAGGTCTCTTCCAGGTGTTAAAAACAGTAACAGAGGGCCGGCCCGGTGGCGCACTGGATAGTGCGCCGCTTGGGAAGCGCAGCGGCGCTCCCACCCGAGGGTTCGGATCCCACATACAGACCGGTTCCCGCTCACTGGCTGAGCGAGGCGCGGGAGCAGCACCGAGGGTTGCGATCCCGTTGCTGGTCCCCGGTCCGGTACGGGGGCAACACTGAGGGTTGCAATCCGTTGCTGGACACGGAAAAAGACAAAAAAGACAAAAAAAAAAAAAAAAAACAGAAAAAGGGCCGGCCCGGTGGCGCACTGCTACAGTGCACCGCTTGGGAGCACGGCGGCGCTCCCGCCCAGGGTTCGGATCCCACATACAGACCGGCTGCTCACTGGCTGAGCGAGGTGCGGGCGCAACACCGAGGGTTGCGATCCCGTTGCCGGTCCCGGTCCAGTACGGGCGCGACACTGAGGGTTGCGATCCGTTGCCGGTCACGAAAAAAGACAAAAAGGAAAAAAAAAAAAAAAACAGTAACAGAGCAGCATGTTTCAAACCACAGGTCTGAAATCCAGGTCATGAAATTAATTTAGTAAGTCCAACTAGCTTTTTTTTTAAAAAAAAAAAAAAAAAAATAGGAGAGAACAGAAGAGAAAACTATCAACAGGTCACAGAACATTATAGGGTGAGCACTGCTGTGAAATGCCTGCATCTCTGCTGTGTGTGTCCGCAGTGGGCCGATCTCTGCCATGTGCATCTACACTGGGCACAACAGCAGAGGAACTTCCTGTTGCAGTTGTGCTCCAAAGGTCTGCCTGGAGGCCTGAGAAGAGCCCCACCTGTCTGTCTGCACATGCTCAGCGCAGCCCCAGGCTAGGGCAGAGCGGCACAGGAAGTCAAGGCTTGCTCTGACGCTCCCTTGGCCCTTTAAAAATGTTTGCCAAATGCATGGCTGGACAGAGAGACAGGTGAGCAGGGCACAGAACTCACCTGTGAGAGGCTCTGGGCCAAAGCTCTCAGAGGGCAGGGCCTGGCAGGAGAAGGTCCTGGCCACCACCTGCTCTACAGGCGTGAGGGCCAGGGCCTGGGGCTTGTCAGAGCCTGAGCCGTGGGCCACCTTCCGAAGGTCGCCCAGCTTGCGCCGCACAACAGCTCGCAGGTCCCGCCACTTGTGCTTGAGGTCAACAACATCACGGCGGCAATAGCCCAGCGCATTGACAGCCTGCAGGATGCGGCTCCACACACGATACCTGCGGGTGGGCTCGGCCTTCAGCAGCCCCGTGCCAAACAGCAGCTGGTGGTGCTTGCTAACCTTGGACACCAGCACCTCGGTCTCCTGTGGACAGAAGTTGGGCTTCCTCTTCTTGGCCCGGGTGATGCTGGGTCCCACCACCCCTCGGCCAGGGGGCCCAGCAGCCGAGTCCTTCCTTGGGCCAGTGGCAGGTGGGGAGATGGGCTCCAGCGTCTGGCTGCCTTCAGGGACAACCCCTGGCCCTGGAAAGGCACCAAAAGGCGGATGTGTAAGGCCCCAGCCCCGGTGGAGGTGGCGGCTCCGGTGACAGCTCCCAGGGCACCTCCTCTTTGGCTTCTGCTTCAGGACACAGCTGCCTGCTCCCAGCCACCATCCCTCCCTGCTGGTGTCTAGAGACCTGGGTCCAAGTCTCCTACCTCTACTCCTGCATTGCTAGGTGCCACCAGCAAGGCACTTAACTTCTTGTCCACAGCAACCCATCTCCAAAATAGGACACCACACAGGCCGGCCGTGGCTCACTCGGTAGAGTGCGGTGCTGATAACACCAAGGCCACGGGTTTGGATCCTATATAGGGATGGCCGGTTGGCTCACTGGCTGAGCGTGGTGCTGACAACACCAAGCCCAAGGGTTGAGATCCCCTTACCGGTCATCTTTTTAAAAAAAAAAAAATAGGACACCACTGGCCCTGCCTGCCTTCCACACCACTGTCAGGGCAAAGGAGCCAAGACAGCCGGGGACAGCCAGCCCTGAGCCCTCCACGCATCTCCTGTCCTCAGGCCCAAGGAAAGAGCACTCTGAGGCCAGGGTTGGAGCTGCTCCTGGGACATCCCTTGCCTGGGGACAGCCCTCACCACTGGCATGCCAGAGTGTCAGGCACACCTGCTTGTCTGCCAACTGCACACCTCAAGAGCTGTGAGCACTGGCCTTGGCATCCCCTCCTGCACCTGGGCTGAGGGCAGGCAGGTGGCACGGCAGCCTGGTCTGCAGTTTTGCTGCTCTGCTGCTCTGTGCCTCTGCAGCCCTCCTACCCCTCACACACAGGCGGCTCTGGGTGGGCCAGCAAACAGTGCCAAGGCCTCTGTCTTTGATCACGTACAAGCTTTGTCACCAACCAGACTGTGGCTTCCTGAAGGCAGGGGCCAGGTCTTATGCTGGAGGGAGGGCTCTCTAGGGGCAGAGGAAGCAACTTTCCCAAAGGCAGGGACAGTGTCCCCCAATACCGGAAGGCCCCCTGAGGGCAACAGATGTGTATCTGAACCCAACTGGGAAGAAGCAGTCCAGACCCACAGCCCTGCCCTTCTCCCTGGGGCCTGTATCCAGGAAGAACCCAGGAGGGGCCCTCTGCCCCTTTTCCTCCCTAAATCGCACACCAAGGACCAACTCTCACCAGCCCACTCTACAAGGACGATCAGGCTCTGGGACAAAGGTACCACATGAGCAGGTCTGGCCTCCTGAGCATGAGCATCCTTCACTCTCAGTCCCACTGGGTTCGGCCTTGTCCCCTAAGCCTATGGGGCCCTGCCAGCTCTGGCCATCACATGGTTTCCCTCCTGCAGCCGGCCCAGACAAGCCCAGCCCAGCCCAGCCATACCATCTGCTATCCTTAGAGGAGAGGCCAGTGGGAGTGGGGGGCAAGGGTGGGGGTGAGACAGGCCACAGCCCTGTCCCAGCCTCTTCCCCCAACTTTCGCCTGCTCGCCCCTCCCTCCTCAGTGCTCAACATCTCTAGGTGGCCTTCCCCGGACCCCCCAGACCCAGCGTCTGAGCGGAAGTACCTTGCTTCCTGGCCCTTGGGACTCTGGGTGTGCCCGCCGGCCCCAGATCACCTTCCCCATCCTTGCCCACAGAGGGGTCCTGTGGCTTGCTCTCTGGTGGTGGGCAGGGGAAGTGGCGGATTCCATACTCGGTCCAACATCTAGCGCACTCTATGGACAGCAAGGGACAGTCACCGTTACTCCCAGCCTGCCCGCACAAGCGGCTCAGGGCACTGCTGGCAGTGGCAGGCCTCCACGCATAGGCAGCAGGCGCCCCAGACCCAAGTAGCTCCACTTGGGCCCACCTCTTTCAGGAAGCCCTCCCCGAATCGCCATGCCCTCCAGAATACCACCCTTTTGCTGAACACCAGCACCAAGTATAAAACTTTAGATGTTCCACATTCATCTCTGAACCATAGCTCTTCTGACAGTGACCCCAAACTAGGACAAAACTGCCTAGATCAGGGCGCTCAGGTGTGGCCCCCAGATAAAACTTTGGACGAATGTTCTCAGTCTGCAACACAGAAGGTACAAAATGGAGAGAAAGGCTTCAGGATCACTTAGGTTAATTTGACCTTGCCACCACATCCAGCAGGGTCCTTCTATTGCATTTTATAAAAACATTGCTCAGCAGCAGGTGGGACGCAAACACCACACAGTGTTTGTCCCTCACGGGACTGAGGTCGGGGACACAGCCGCGCAGAGGTGCTGGCAGCCCCCACTCCCACTCTCCAGCAGGCCCTGGCACAGGCTTGGGCCCCACAGAGAACACTTCCTGATTTTCAGTAACAATTTTCGCTTATTCAAAAAACATTTCTGGACACATTTTATTGAAATTCGCCGATCCTCAGATGCACCAAGACATAACTCTCACTCTATGACACCCCAGAGGCCACCAAGTGTAGTGGGCCAGGCTGAGGGCAACGAATACGACCCTCAAGCCTGTTGCAGCCTGCTCCCCCAGCTGGGGTCTCTCTCAAATGCAATAAAGGCAGTTTCCAAGGAGACACAAGCTAGGAGGTGACATATGACACAGCTGGCTTAGAAGCTCTTTCTGACCACGTCAACCGCCTCTAGGAAATCCCCAGGTTGGCACAGCCCATCCCTCAACCCCCGTCTCCGCACTGAGCTCCTGAAGCAGCAGCCTTTGAAAAAGGCCTTTCATGCAAGCCCTTAGTCCCTCATCTCCCCCAGAGAAGAAAGAGCAGAGGGACACCCTGGCCAGACTGTGGCTCTGCATCTCCGGAAGGGACACTGCAGCCCTGCCTGCCAGGGAAGGACTGCCCCAAAGCCTCTCACTGCCCCCCCACCCCCCACCCCCCGATGCAGAGGTCCCAAAAGGCCATCTAATCCATCCTCCTGCCTCCAGGCAGCATTGCCCCAAATCACATAGGCAGCAGACAGCCTTCCTGGTCATGCAGACTCAAGGCAGAGTGCCCAGGGCCCCCTCGCTCACTGGCCCCTGGGGGGAGGACCGAAAAGAAGGGGGGACGAGGGCCGAGGATAAAGAAGGAAAGGGAGGTGGCAGCCTAGCTTATTTGTGGGGGGAGTTTCCACAGGACAGAGACCTGCAGCAAAGCGAAGTCCAAGTGACAGCACAGCGAGAGTGCCCTCTCTGGGGCTGCGCAGCCTGGAGAGGCGGGCAGCCCTGGGCAGTTGGGTACTGGGAGAGGCCCCAAGTTGCAGGCCCCTCTGAGTGACTGTGAGCCCCCAGGGCAGGGCCCCTCTCCCCTCAGGGCCTGCCGTTCTCCAAACATGAAGGTGCCTGCGTCTGCAGCCTCCCTCCCCAGGCCCCATGCCATTCTCTCCCTGCACAGAGACACCCTGCAAGTTCCAAACCCCTGCCCCAGCAAGTGCTGCCTGGGACAGCAGTGTATAAGGAGGAGATCCAGGTACCCGGTGACTAGGGTCACTATCTGCTCGGGGACAAAGTCCCACAGTCCCCTGCCCAGACCCCCAGAGAGACCACAGGCCCGTAGGCAGCCCTGGCTCAAGGACACCCCATCACCACAGCACAACAGCACTTGCTCACCCCAAGTCCACGCCCTGCCTACCATCCCCACATTATTCCACATTGTCCCCCCAAACACCCTTGGAGGGGCCAGTCTGGTTTGAATACCTGAATCACCCAAACCTGCAACTTTTGAGGGGTGGGAGGACAGGCCTTTGTTTTATTCTTTGTTTTTGATTAGAATTATATACAAATTACAGAAAAAAATTTAAATGCGGACAATTATAAATAAAAATCATTTGCAACGATGACATCCAGACATGATACTATTAGCACCAGGTGGGGGTGTCTTATACAGTCACAATATCACACGTGTGGTTTTGCTCCTTCCGTTTACCAGAACGATCACGAATCGTAACATGACAGGGACGCTCAGGGCCCTCCAGCACTGTGATCTCCACACCCGCGCCCGCATTGTTTCCATCGCGCATTGTGACGCGCTCGGCTGCTTTCCTCAAGCTGGATAGCGGCAGTATTTCTGAACTCTCATAAATCCTGCCGTGGTGAACGCCTCTGCCCGTGTCTCTGATTATCTCCCAGGACAGAGTCCAAGAAGAGGCATGGCTGGGCTGAGAGAGAGAATTCGGGGGTTCCTGGCCCCAGCAAGGAGCTCCACACTTGCCGGCAGGACCCTGCCTCCTCCTCTTCCTCGGAGGGTCCCTGCTCCCACCTTGGGCTAGCAATGGCTCACATTGCTCTGTTCATCTCCTCTCTCCGGTTACTAGTGAGGCTGACCACCTCCGAGGCACAAACCAGCCATCTCCATCTCCTGTCTGTTCACAGACCTGGCCCACTTTTATGGAGATGCAGAGGGCTCCCTTCTATGTATGTGAGCTCTGTGTGTGTTCACAATCTGTCAGTGGGCTTTTTGCTGCCTTTGTCTGTGGGATGGTCCCATGATGCTGCATAATTATCTACAGGTGGCCAGGACCACGACCTCAGCACACAGCAGGCACTGGGGAGACGCAGCTGCTCTCACAGGGCTGGGATCTCCTCCCACCTGGAAGCACAGCCCACAGGGAAGCCTTGACGGCTCGTCCCAGGGCAAAGAGGAGCCTGAAGACATGCAGAGCCCCACTCAGCCCCAGAAGCAGCCTCATCTCCACAATCTTCAACACATCAGCACAATTCTGATCTTTTTCTCACAGAAATGCAAGTATGTTAAAAATAATTTTTAAGAGGCAGCTGGAAAAAAATACATGTGTTTGGAAATGATGAAATATACTTAATAGCTCCTGCGTCAAAAAGAAATCATAACGGAAATTAGAAACTATGTAGAACTGAACAAAAATAAAAAGTACTATATATTTTTTAATAGGTGATATTCAATGAAAGCAGTGAATCTTTAGAAATTTATAATTTTAAGTGTTTTTATTAGAAAAGAGTAAAAACTAAATATTGAATGTGAATGAGATAAACATCCAATCTCAGAGTGAGAAAAATAAAACAGCACCAACTCAAAGGAAGAAGGAAAAAAATAATAAAAATATGAGTGGAAATCAATCAAATTTTAAAACTAACGTGTAATGGAAAGGATCAAGAAAGCCACAAGTCACATCTTTGTAGACTTATAAAATTGCCAAGTCTCTGTCAACAGTGATTATAAAAGAGGAAAATAGGGAAGGTACAAATATACAATATTAGGAATAAAAACTGAGGTATGATTCACATATTGCCAACACTAACAAGACAGCAGCACGCAGCCCTGACTACACATGTGGCACGGTCTTGCCTGTACTAACTCCTTCAACCTTCACGATGGCCAGGGAGGAGTCTGCTGTGATCTCCGTTTTCAGGTGATTGGATCACGAAAGCTAGCAAGTGGCCGGGCAGGCAGGCCTTGAGGTCAACGCAGGCTGGTGTCTGAGTTGGCACTCTGAACCACTACAAGACACTGCCCTGGTGTCATACTTGACAATGAGAGGCTACTGTGTACAGTTTTATTTCAATAACTTTGAGCATTTAGATGAAACTGACACATTTCCAGAAAAATGCAACTTAACAAAACTGACACAAGAAGAAACAGAAAACCCGAAGAGCATCTCACAACTAGAGAAATTAATTGGTAGTCAAAAATCTTTCCCTAAAGAAAAACACTAGACCTGGATAGTTTCACAGCAAAATTCCAGAAACATTCAAGGAACACGTAATTCCATTCTTCCACGAACTCAGGAGGAGTAGTCACCACCACCTCCGCTCAGCGCCGCAGCAGAGGCTCCTGCCGCTCAGGAAGGGAGGGGGACCAAAAGGCGACAGCGTTGTAAAGAACAGAGGGGACTGCCACGCTTCACATGCGGCTCCTTCTGCAGAGAAAGCTCAAGAGATTCCACAGACTACTCATCACAGTCAACACAAAAGAGCTCAGCAAAATGGCTGGATACAATATCGGTAGACAAAAATCAACCACACTCCACAGGAAAAGCCTGCTTTCTTCAGCAAATAAACTTTGAGGGGGGAAAAAAAAGACTGAGAAGAGTCTGGAGCTGTAGACAGACACGGACGGTTTCTCAGTCAAGTGCAGTCTGTGGGTCGTATTAGGCTCCTGCTTCTAACAAATGACTGTGAACACTCGGGGACATCCTGAAGCACCTGAAAATCTGAAAGGCGGAGCCAGTGCTGAGGCTGGAACGAGCTATTACAGCAGACACCGGTCACATGTAAGAGCAGCCCTCCTCTTTGACACACACTGGAATATCCGCGCACGAGATGACCAGATATCTGGGATGTACTTCAGAGTGACACAGAAGGGGGATCAGGGAGGGCTCGCAGAGGCCAGGCCAGCCTGAGCACTGGCAGCCGCGCGGAGGAGCTGCCCTAAGGTGCACTACATCACTGTGTCTCCTTCTGTGTGTTTGCAATTTTCCATATTTAGAAAGCTAAAACACAAAATATTTAAAAATTAAATAAAATCTCTAGACTTTACTTTTTAAGCAAATTAATTGTGTGTGTACACACCAGCAAATATTTGGAAAATGTAATATTCAGAATGGTACCACTTATAATAGCAGCAAAAAATGTTTTTGTTTTGTTAAAACAAATTTAAGAAAACATATGTAAGATCTTTATGGAGAAAATAAGACTTTATTGAAAGACATTAAAGAAGACCTAATAAATATAAAGACATAACATGTTCATGGACTGGAAGACTCAATGGTAAAGATGTTAATTCTCCCCACATTAATCCAGTGGATACAGAGCAATTCCAATCAAAACTACAATGGTTTGACAAGGTGACTCTAAAGTTTACGTTCAAAAAAAATAAATAAATAAAATAAAGTTTATGTTCAACAACAAAGAGCCAAAAAATACCCAAGAAAGTTCTGAAGAAATGTAAGGAAGACAACTTGCCTCTCCCCCCCAAAAAATCAAGAATTACAATAAATCTATTGAATTTAAGATAGACTGTGGCATGGGAATAGAAAAACTGACCAAGAGAAACTACGGACACTGTCCATCATGCAGCCAGTCCTGCAGGTCTGCAGGAAGGGGCAGAATGAACAGTCCAGATGGCCTATGGTTCACATGGAGAAAAACGACTTTGGCGTTTCCCCTCCACCATCCCCATCACCCCACAAACAAACATCAGCTCCAGGTGAATTAAAGATTTACGTACAAAACACAAAGTATGTAATCTGTAGAGAAAAGTGAAGGATAATATCATCATCTTGTTATAGAATTTATTAACTGAACAGAACAATGCAAATCATAACAGAAACGACGGATAAGTTCAGTGTATCACAGTTGAGAACTTGTGCTCATCAGCAGGCACCATAACAAACAGCAAGCGCAAACTGGACCAGGGTATTTACAACACATCTGGCAGGCGCTTCATTTCCAGAATATACAAGGAAACCCTGCAAATCAATAACTGCAAGACAAACCCAGGAGAAAAATAAAGACTTAACTGAAGGGAAGACCCAAATGCCCAGGCAACATACGAAAAGAAGATCAAGCCCTTGAGCCACCAGAGAAATACAAAATCAAGCCAGAAGAGTGTTGCTTCGTGTTGCTTCACCCCCTACAGATTTGTCACCCTACTTCCCCTGGGTGACAGAGATGCAAAGGATTACTCAAAGCCCATCTCTTCTGAGCAGTGAGAAGCCCCAAAGCAGTTAACTTCCCTTGGGAACGCTCAAGCGAGAGGCATCCCTTCCCTTGGGAAATTAACCCTGAATTGGGGTTCTCTTCCTGCATTTATTCTCCAGACCAGGAAGTTAGAGGAAGAGAACATAGGTGAGGTTATAGTTTAACAATATAGGCTGGTAACTTTCGGTGAAACAAATCAGATGACATTCCCTTAGACAACAAAGTCTGGATCTTAGCAAACACTCCTTTTCCCTCCAGCAATTTTCCAGTATCTTTATATAACAATCAGTAACTAGTCTGTCCTTCAGCCAGCAACCTGCTGTGCCACAAATCTTTATCTTACACCAGAGACTATAGCCTGAGGAAAATTTCCAGTCTTCCGCAAGGTCAATATTTGAAACTGCAAGGCTTTGGAAAACCAGGCCCTGTGAAGTACATATGCTTTATAGTATATTCCACAGAAGAGACCCTTTCACACCCACCAGGTTGGCAGACAGTCACCGTGTGACACCATCTGGTACTGACAAGGACATGTGGCAGAGGGCACAGGCACGTGCCATGGCAGGAGCCCCACCCAGTACTGGTACCCTCCCACATGCCTGCAGAGGTGCTGACACCACACATGGGCACCCAGCCACACAGCTGTGACCACACCAGATGGGAACCACCTAGATGCCCCCAGACGTGGACCAGGCATCGATGCCATAGTGTCCTTGCATAACCAGATACGGTGCAGCAGGAAAAATGAAAGGACCACAGCAGTGCGCAACGAGAGACTCAGGAACAAGACATGGAAAAGCAGCAAATCGCACAATAATGCAAATTCAATAAAGTTCAAAACCATGCAAAAATCAACAACGTCCCGTTCAGGTGCATAAGCACCCAAAAGTAGAGCCATGAAGAAAAGCAGGACATGGTAAGTGCACAAGTCAGGGCAAGGAGGGAAGGGGACAGAAGAGGAAAAGGTGGGTGGCTGGGGTGGCTGGGTCACCCATCTCTAAACCGGTGTATATGTATGAACTCTGTGTACCTGAACCACACACACACACACACACATGCGCATGTATGCACATGCACCACACACACACTCAATATCCCTGAGAACACGTCTCTACACACAAAGTCAGTAAAGCAGCTCATGCCACCCCTGTGCAAGGCCCTGACGCTCCCTGTGCACGCAGAAGGAAGCAGGCACACGACAGGGTCACCCACCACCCTGGCCTGGCCATCCCAGGACACGCTAATTCAGCTCTCCCAGGCTGCCTATTCCCAGGCTCCTCCTTAAGCCTCACTAAATGTCACCTCCCCGAATAAGCTCCAGCAGCCCATCCCTCCCGGACCCAATCAGTCCTAGCCTGTCTCCTCATTTCCTCACCAGCAGGTAAGGAAGAGGATCTCAGAAACATCTCCCTGACAGAGCATGGGCCTCCTGAGGGTGCAGGACTCACCTGTTTTCTCCATCCAGTGCTCCTGATACCTAGAACAGTGCCTGGCACACAGGGGAGGCTGGATAACTGTTCCCAGAAGGAAGGAGGAGAGGGAGGCCGGAGCAGGAGACCAGACCAGCTAGGCATCCCCAGGGAGAAAGAAGGACGGAGGAAGGGGACTGTACTGGAGGACAGCACCTGCGCCCCAGCACCGAGCCCTAGGCCTGGCCTGGGAAGAGCTAGAGGTGATGGCATGGGGGGTGAAGAACACACAATGACTGTCTCACTGTGACGATTTGGACCCATGTCCTCCCTGCCACCATCTGTATCCCAGCACAGGTGAGGCAGTCACCTGCCATCCTCCTGAGCATGTGCTGTTCCCTCTTTGCTTAGGAGGCACAGGGCTGAGAGTGGAAGACAAGCCCAGGGCAGTGGGGGCTGCCAAGGGCCAGCGATGGCCCCACACCCAGACTTGTTCCCTGAAGAGCATCACTGGGGAACAAGCCCTGGCCAAGAGCCAGGATGAGCATCAAGGGAAGACTCTGGGACCCAGGTCTCAGGGAGGGGGCAGAGGTAGAGTCCGTGCCTGCAGCAGCTGCTAACCTGAGCCCTAGACCCAGGCCGAGGGCAGACAGAGGTAAACAAAGAGATCAGGGACCCCAAATTCAATCCCCTTCCCTCCCAGAACACCGTTCATGCGGGCTGCCTTGACCCAGATGCTAGGAGCCAGATGACAGGACTGGTGGCAGAGACGCTGGCCCAGTGGGCCTGGCTGCCTGGAACGTAGGGGCACCTCGTGGGGCCAGATCCGCAGCCCAAGCTAACAAAAGAGGGGAGAGCAGGGGAGAGACCAGGAGGATGACCATGGCAGTGAGATGGCCACGAAGACCAAAGGGGGCAGCCTGCAGGTGGGGGCAGAAGAGGAGGAAGCTGGAAAGCACAGGGGCTTAGCGTTCAGAAATATCCAGATGCAGACCCCAGCTCCACACTGCTCTAGCAGCACAGCCGTGGGGAGTCACTTATCACCCCCATGGGTCTCAGTCTCCTTCTCTGTATCTATGCAAAGTGCCACCTGCTCCACACCGTCATTTAGCACAGATGAGATCACTCAGCCACTCCCCAGACACCTTGAGCGCCACCAACCAGCAGGTTGGTATTCTGAGCACCAGCTCCATGCCCAGTGTGAACTCAGACACCCAGGTCTGCCCTCCTGATTCCTCCTTTCCTGGGGCCAGAATCACCCCCACCTTGGGGCTCAGCAAGTCCACTGTGGTGGTCTCTGGTCACAGGCAATGTTTCTCAGAGGAACGGAACGAGTCTACCCTCCACCAGCATAACAGGGAGAAGACCCCACCCACTGCCATCCTCCTCACCTCCCCCACCCCAGTACCAATTACTGTCATTACCTAGGGGCTGATAACCTTGTCTGGAGGGTCCCCCGAAAGCGCCACGACTCCCCAGGCCACCTCTGCCGGTGATGGATCCATAAGACATCTTCTCACAAAGGCAGGGCCAGCAGCCTCCCCGCTGAGCTGGAGTAAACAGGAAAACAAGAGAGAGGGAGAAAAGCATGCAGTTGAAGCTCAGATTCAGGGTGCACTGGGGCCCCATGTCCACTGGGGTCCCATGAGCCTGGCACCACTGCACCTGTTCCCAAGGCCACCGCAGGCTTCTTGCCAGCCCTAAGGCAGCAACCCTTACTGAGACCCTTCTAGAAGGCCTCCCACCCCACAGCTCCCAGTGTGGCAACAGGGACATGCAGCCCTGAAAAAGTCATGCCCAGCCCCTGCCCGCAGAGCTGCCCTCTAGCTAGTCCTTAAAGATCATGAGGTTCCATTTGGAGCCCCAGCCTCCCTGGCTCTCCAGCCCACTGCAAGCCCACCCCTGCCTGGCTTCTGAGCACACAGGGTCCCCGCAGCTCCCCCAACATACATGCCTACATCCACCACAGGGCGTGAGCAGGTACTGCACCACCAGGTGCCGCACCAGGGCTGAGACCACGGAGCTCAGGCTACTGCCACATCTGTCTCTAGCTCTGTCTTCCTGAGCAGCACCTGATGGGCAGCAGAGCTGGGGTCAGGCTGCCTCGGGGTGAATCCACCCCAGCCATTTATTATCTATGCAGCGTGGCACAAGCTACTGGACCACTCTGGGCCTCAGTTTCCTCATCTGTACAGTGAGAGGAATAAAATAGCCTACTTCTTAGGGTTGTCATGAGAAATACAAAGATACATATTCAGTGCTCAGAACAGGGTTGACAACAGTAAGCATTCAACATATAATTCACTGTATTGGCACCATCATTAACATGACACCAGCCATCCCTGACACGAGGAGAGTGGGAACATCTCCAACCTGGACAGTGCCAGAGCTGCCACCCATGGGCTCTGCCCCCTGCAACATTGTCCCTGGGAGCACAGATCCTTTTTGAAATGTCACTCTGATCTGCCCACATTCTAACGAGATCACTCACAGAGCCACCATCCAGGCCGGGCTCAGTTCCAAACACTTTACAGCAACTACTCGGCTCCCCCGCACAAAAACTCAGAGTGAGAAGGTGGGTTTAGGAGTAAAGTGAGCTTCACAGGGGGCAAGAAGCAGGCGGAGGTTCCAGGGTGGGGAGTGCGAGGCCAGCGTGGCCCTGTGTCCCCTCCGAATGGTGCCCGGCCTGTGCACGGCTCCCACACGTGCCCGTACCAGCCAGCCCTGGCCAGAACAGGGCAGCACCAGGCCTCCGTCAAGTGCAGTGGCCCACATACTTCAGTTCCAGGACCCCACGCACTGCTCAGGACCCCAAACAGTGGTTTATGTGGATGATATCTACCAATACCTAAAACACTCAAAATTAAAACAGGCTTTGTAAAAGCTCTCCCCTTAATACATTTTGAAATAATAACAATAAACCCACTACTGTTGACACAGATAATACATTTTCATAAGAAGTAACTCTGTTGTCTGAAACTTGCAGCTCTGTGAGGACAGTGACACTACCCACACTTGGGTCGCCCTGCGGGCAGGCTCTAGGAACAGCGGGTCTCCCCCTGCTCTGGTGGGAGCTGCTGAGGCACGTTGCTCTGGGCACATGAAAAAATCCAGGCCACACAGGGATGCAGTTGGCAGAAGGAGGACCTCAAGGACCACTGGAAAGGATGCAGGGCCCCCCAGGGGTCCTCATACCATACTTTCCGTGGGTCCCTCAGGCCTCACATCCCAGACACTGGCCCAGAGTCGCCACTGGGCCTCCCTCCAGTTTCTCTATGTTTCCAGTGGTGGGGAGAAAACTAGGTCTCAGTGAGAGAGCAGAGGCCTGAGATGTCTGCTGGCCTGCAGGACAGGTGGGACTCAGCAAGCCCAGTGGCCCCGAGTGAGAGTTGGGGCTGTGGGAGAAGCAGGTCTCAGCCTGGGAGCGAAGGGCTCCCATGAGCCAGGGCCTCATCAGGGAAATCCTCTGACAGAGAAGATGGCCAAGGACACAAGGGGAAAACATAACTTGGAGGAAAGAGAAACTATCCAAAGAAGAAAACTTTTAAAAGGAACAGGATGGCAACTAACGCATCTATAACACTTGGCATGTATCGACTCCTCTAAGTGCTTTACGTGTTCATAAGTTCATCCTCACAACTCCCCTGTAAGGGGGGCCACTATCATCTTTATCCTGCAGACGAGGAAACTGAGGCACAGAGAGGTGAAGTGACTTGTGCAGGGCCACACAGCTGGTAACTGATGGAGAAAGGTTGTAGGTCCAGGCAGTCTGGCTTATGAGCCAGTGTCCTTACTACACTGCCCTCAGAAGAATGAGCCCAAAGACCCCACTGATATCCCAGAGAGACAGGTGATGCTGCTGCCATCATAAGGATTTAGAGACAGGGGCAGGATGCTGAAGAAAGGGCCTTTCAGAGAACTCCAAAGAGCACTAGACATGAAACCCTGGGGCAGAAATGAAGAGCTCTGCAGAAAGGGGAAGGATAAAGCTGAAGAAATCTCCCAGAAAGCAGGAGAAAAAGACAGAGAACAAGAGGGGAAGTGATGGGATCCATCCAGAAATCTCTACATCTGAGTAACAGGAATTCCAGAAAGAGAGACAGGGAAAGCCAAGGGAAGGGAATCATCCAAAACAGGATTCATGACAACTGCCCAGAGCTGAACATATTTGAGCTGGACAGGAGCCCACAGAGCACCCACCCCGGGTCACCTTGTGCCCCTGTGAGATGTCAGGACACCTGGACAAAGAGCATGTTCCCAAGCAAACCGAGCTCCACATCCAGAACCAGAAACCATAGTGAGCTGGGAATTCCCACCAGCAACATTGGGATCAATGGTCCCTACAGTTCCCACGTTCACAGAAGAACTAGGGTGAGGGCCACAGGAGGACACTCTCAACACCTGGGGTGCTATGGTTTGAATATGTCCCCCAAAATTCACATGTTGAAAACTTAATTCCCAGGCCAGCCCAGTGGCGCACTGCTACAGTGCGCTGCTTGCGAGTGCTGCGGCGCTCCCGCCGAGGGTTCGGATCCCACATACAGACCGGTTCCCGCTCACTGGCTGAGCGAGGTGCGGGAGCGACGCCGAGGGTTGCGATCCCGTTGCCGGTCCCGGTCCGGTACGGGCGCGACACTGAGGGTTGCGATCCATTGCCGGACACGAAAAAAGACAAAAAAAAAAAAAAAGAAAAGAAAACTTAATTCCCAATGCAACAGTGTTAGGATAAGAGGTGACCAGGTTATGGGGGCTCTGCCCTCATGGACGGACTGATGTAGCTATCACAAGAGTGGGTCTGTGGTGGTGAGAGCAGGCTGCTGTAAAGCAGGACTGGCCCCTGGTGCCTTTCTGTTTTGTGCACTCACTTCTTCCTCTGTCTTCTGCAATGGGATGAGCCTCGCCAGGTGCCAGTGCTCTTGGACTTCCGGCCTCCAGAATCACAAGCTAAATAAATTTCTTTTTCTTATAAATTACCAGTCTCAGGTATTCTATTATAGCAGCAGAAAATGGACTAAGACCCAGGGTCTCCAAACACTCCTTCCATGCACCCTTTCTCAGGGAAGCACTCGAGGATGTGCTCCATCGAAACCAGAGACCACCTAAGGAAGGAGGAAGTTTCAGAATGCCCGAAACTTGAAGATGATGAAAGGGACCTCAGGTAAAAGCTGTACCTAGGCAGGCAGGGCAACCCGCTGATGACAGAAGGTTCTAGAGAGAGTTCGGGAAGACAAAACAATGGACCAGTGATGTGAAAGAACATCAGGTTAAGTCCCTGAGAAGTACATAAGACACTAAGCAAACAAAGGCAATTATGAACTCTGGGAAAATGAAAAGTTGAGCAGAAGATGAAAAATCATCCTGTTTTACTACCAGGCTCTGTTCTCTGTACCACACAATATGATTAAGAAAGACTTGATCTACCTGAGAGTATGGAATAATGATGTAGCTATACCAGGAGGAGAGGAAGCAGGAAGTGTGCGCACATGCTTGTGTGCATGTGAGTTAGGTGTATGTGTGCATGCATGTGTGTATGCTGTATGTGTGTGTTATGCGTGCACACGTGTTGTGTGTGCTATGTGTGCATACATGTATGTTATGTATGCCTCTGTGTGTGTGCTGTGTGTGCCTGTGTGTACGTGTGTTATGTGTGTAGGCATGTGTATTGCGTATATGCTATCTGTTTATGCATGTGTGTTGTGTGTGCTATGTACGTGTGTGTATGTGTTGTTTGTATATGTGCATATGTGTTGTGTGGGCATGTGCATATGTGTGTTATATGTGCACACATGTGTGTTGTGTATATGCTATGTGTGCATGCACATGTGTTGTGTGTGCTATGTATGTGCATGTGTGTGTGTGTGTGTGCTTTGTGTATGTGTTGTGTGGGCATGTGCATATGTGTTGTGTGGGCATGTACATGTGTGTGTTATATGGGCACACATGTGTGTTGTGTATATGCTATGTATGTATGCATGTGTGTTGTGTACGTGTGGGTGTGTGCACCTGTGAGAGAGTATGCACTAGTGTGTAGAGACATCAATCCTCATCTTGCAAGTCAATAAATAATGTCTAAACGTTAAAAAAAACATATCAAGTATAATACAAGCATGTTGTTTGGAGAAAAGATAAATATCAAAAGAATCTACTACAAGAATTAGAAGTACAGTAGTACTCTGGGGAGGAAGAAGGAGGGGCAGCTAGAGATTACTGTTTTTTTTAATTAACCTTGCGGAACTCATTTACTCTCTAAACTACACGCATGTATAATTTTAAAGTATTAAATCTTAATTTGTAAAATTCCAATGAAACACCATCTAGAAAGATTTGGAAACAAAGTGGAGGGCTGCCGGACGGTGTGCCTTCGTGGACAGAAGCCAGGTGGAGACCCCGCTCAATCGCTGAGGGGTGGCCAAAGAGAACTACGTGCCTTTGTCCTGGGAGGCCATATGGCCTAAGTCCACAGACACACCCCAAACACCCCCATGCGCTGGCCCTGTGTGGCAACCCCAACA